TGAGTAAAATTGAACGATACAACACAAAAGATTGAAAACATAAAATGAATTCCAAAGACAATTAACAATTAAAAGCTGCAGATAGACCTATCCATCATGCGTTTATCTAATCCACCCTCCTACCACCATCCCCCCTTTTCAAAGCCAAGCAAGCAAGCCTGTTTATGTGACCATTACAGTAGAAACCAGCAAGCAAAAGCTTTTATGGGATGGCAGTATTAAGGATGATCACCCACTAATGCCTGCCAATCAAGCTGCTGTTAAAGACCCAGCTGACAGAGGCCACTTGGAAAGCTGGCCTCCATCTGCAGCAACTGGTCCACAGACTCTGAGGGACCCAAATGAAGATGAAAGCCAAAATCACCCTTCTGTCTTTTTAAGCATTTTAACCATTACTCAAGAATTTTTCTCCATTTCAGTTAATGATTATGACTGCAACTCACCAGTTATGCCTGCTTTTGCTCTTTTTAATGTCATTACAATTTCTCCAGCAGAAAATAATGCTCTAGTCTACATAGGACGCTGGATTCCATCTCTCAGAGTCTAGACTGGATGCACTCCTAGAAAATCACTGAGTGACAATCCAGCTGTGTTTATCTCTCCATTCTATGTTATTTCCCCACTCCAGCCGCTTCCTATACTAGACAACCCCAATCTGGTACCTCCTAAGTATGATGGGATGACAGCTCCCAGGACTCCTAGTTAGCAATTCTTTCTAGGAATTCTGGGAGCCGCATTTCTATTCTATCCAGAGTGCACCATGATGAGGAAGGAGTTTTTCATTTCCATCCTTCCTCTGTAATCTCCAGTGAAATCAACAGAGATAGCCTTGTCAATTTCTCTGACTTTGCTTTTTGCTGAAATTGATTTCATCATGCCCCAAACTGGTGCTTTCCAGATATATTTAACTTCAAATCCTATAATTCCTATCAAATGGGGTTACATGGCTAAGGATTATGGACTAGGGATTTGAAGTTCTTCACATCTAGAGACCACCATTTTAGGTTTGGATGGCAAGTAAAGAAGAAATAATAATAATAATAATAATAATAATAATAATAATAATACCCCAGACTTAACAATTGTTGATAGAAAGACAAAAAGTCTGGATAGTGGATATTGCAATTTCATTTCACTTTGCTGTACTGAGCTCAGTACAGCAAAGTGAAATGAATTTGCAATATCCACTATCCAGACTTTTTGTCTTTCTATCAACAATTGTTAAGTCTGGGGTATTATTATTATTATTATTTCTTCTTTACTTGCCATCCAAACCTAAAATGGTGGTCTCTAGATGTGAAGAACTTCAAATCCCTAGTCCATAATCCTTAGTTCATTTCACTTTGCTGTACTGAGCTCAGTACAGCAAAGTGAAATGAATTACCCCAGACTTAACAATTGTTGATAGAAAGACAAAAAGTCTGGATAGTGGATATTGCAATACCTGGAGACAGCAGAACAGAAGAGAAAGAACTGGAGGAAATCACAAAATACAAAGACCTGCAGATAGAAGTAGAACGACTATGGCAAAAGAAAGCAAAGATACTACCAATAGTAATAGGCTCCTTGGGTGCAATCCCAAAACATCAGGAGTACCCCTTGAAGACTACGAGCGTTGACAGAATCACCATCAGTCAATTGCAAAAGGCAGCTTTACTCGAAACAGCTTCCATCCTGCATAGGGAGCCTTTAACACCATCAAACAACAACGTCTGCCTATCCCAGGCCCTTGGGAAGGACTCGATAGGTGGATAAAAATGCCAGATCCAGTCTAAACATTTGGCTGACTGTGCAGCCAATAATAATAATAATAATAATAATAATAACCAAACATCAAGGGTTTCTCTATGTTTCAGATTTCCTTGGTTTTATTTTATGTCAATTGTGACTGTCAAGTAGTTGGTGCCTTGCACACATGGCAGATATATTGCGAGCTTCCTAGGACAAATCCACCCGCTGCACTATTATTAGTCTCCCAGGGCTTCTGGCAGGGTTCTTTCTTAGCCTGACTTGGAAGTGACAAGAATCAAATGTGGAAGATTCTGCATGAAAGCCTATTGTCTGGAGAGATTACAGTGAGCAACCGTGTGGTTTATTTGGTTAGGATGAACTAATGTTTTGTAACCATAGTATGTATGGCTAGCTGTTCTGAATGAACCATTCAATTATCCACTTCAGAGATGCAATTCTAAGGCAATTTAATTGAACCTCCAAATCAGATTTATGAATTGTATTGGCAAAGCAGATCGATTGGCTTCCAAACTGATTCCGATCATTTCTGCATCTCTCATATTTTCTTTAATTGATCTGGAAGTTCAGATCAATTCAGCCATTTGATTTGGTTATCTGAATCAAATAGAATCGGTTTTCTGAATTAAAATGGAAGCTTCAGCCGAATCACGGATCTCACCCAAATGTGATTTCTCCACATTCACACACTCCCATGCCAACCTGGCCAATAGTAGCCTAGTAATCAAGCTATGTATTAATACACATAGCTTAACTGGATGTGTGAACTCAGCCATCTTTATTTAAGGGTGACCATGTTCAGAAAGACCACTGGTAAAAGAATTGCCAAGTATGGATTTCCTTGCAAAGCAGGCCTTTCCTCAACTTAATTTTATAAAACTATTTTTCTGAGGTCAGAATGAAATATGCTGCTGGTTATAATATAGGGGGAGGGTTGTAGAAACCCTATCAAAAGAGTGGTTTTTAACTATGCTTCCCAATGCAGTTTCACCTCCCCACCCCCACCCCCTGCCTTTCCCCTCTGAGAATGTAGGAATTTTTTTCCAGGACTGCCAAAAACCTGAAATCTTTGAGGGGGGGGGGAGAGAGAGAGAGAGAGAGAGAGGATACACCTGTAAAGTCCCTTGTCCTGCAGCTGAAGAGTACAAGTCTGATCATTGATCAGTCTTATGTCTGTGTGCAAAGGAGCAGAAACAAGAGACTATTAAAAGAGATGGAGAAGGAGGAGGAGGAGTGGAGAAAGAAGCAGGATGGAACACACACACACACACACCACAGAGAGGCAAAGCAAATTAAATGGGGCTCTGATCTCCCTGGGTTTTTGCCTGCCCCCAAAAATGCACCCTGAATCTTAATTCACTCCAGTGTTCAGTAACACACTGCACACACACACATCCACACATCTCCCGATCTCTCTTCGAGATCAGCCCTTTTCAGTGCACACTCACTCCGTGATTTCCTTGTCTTTCATACTCCATCTCGTTTTTTACATCCAATAGTTACTTGCAAAAATCTGCTGTTAAAAGAGACCAGGAGAGGTTTCCCCCATGTCACAATCTGGCTCCACCCGGGTTTTTATTTCTCAAC